AAAAGTAAAACTAATCTCCAAAATGTAACTTACTTGCATTGGGGTTGCAGCACTATTTCTTGTTATAGTGGGAGCTGATTGCAACCCAATGCATTTAGGTCACACACTGTTTTCCACTATAAAGGATTCTTGTGATCTTTTCTTTGAGAAGTTTTCACACCTTTACTATTGGCACTTTGATATTCAGCCAGGGAATGCCCTGTGGCTTGGGAGCTGCCTCCTCTCCGTCTCATGAAGATCTGTGTAGCTTTTGCTGAAATATACTCTGTTAACAATTGCCATTTTCCTTCTCTCACTGACGCTCATCAATGTTTCAGGGGTATAGGTTATAGTCATGTTTCATCTAAGGGCATAGGCAGACAAGGTGCTTTGGGTAAATCTGGTATCTTTTATTAGACCAACTCAAATAGTTGGAAAAACTCTTCTTTGCAAGCTTTTGGGTACAAGCATCCTTGGTCAGGGGATTTGTACCAGAAAGCTTGCAAAAAAGAATGTTTTCAACTATTTTAGTTGGCCTAATAAAAGATATCAGATTTACCCAAAACACCTTGTCTGCCTTATGCTCATTAAGCATTTTTTCCTTTTACAAAAATCTAGAAAATGTTATAGAAGAGAGCTACATTGCAAGGACACTAGAGAGGTTGAAAAATCAACTACTAAAAAGTTAGGAAGTGGCAGCCCTATAGTTTTCTGTACCGCTTCAAACTGGTTTGCAATTACAAGTTTACATATTAGTCTCCCTGGAGAACCCTCACCTTATTCAGTGCACAGATTGGTGTACAGAAATGTGGTACATCCATAGTAACTAATGTCCCATAGGAGGATGGATTACAAGTCATAAAGAACATTATCCACAATGATAACATTATTCCTCTTTCCATTGCACTCTTCTGCTTTGTCCTCACACATACCTATTTCAGATTTGGGGATTCCCCATACCTACAAACAAGTGGCACTGTTCTGGGCATATGTATGGCCCTCAGTATGTCACTATGTTTATGACTAACCATGAAGGTCACTTCCTCTGAAGTTGCCCTCTCATCTCCCTGGTATTTGTGAGGTGCAATGACATCTTAGTATTTGGACACACAGATGTCATTTGTGCAACACAGCCACATCACTGCTGGACCAAACAACATGGCTTATAACATTCACAGGCTTCTCTATCAAGATCAGATACGTTATCACCTGCTTGAAGTGCTGTCTGCTGCCTACATTGGATGGATGGGGTGATCTCTATGTGAAAGAATGCCGACACCAATCTGACATCAATTCCAGAAAGACACAAAAACCTGTGGCAGAACACCTGAGCCTTTCTGGATATTCCATCATTCTTCAACAACACTTTAAAAACCCATTTGAATGCAAAATTGCACAACAAGAAATTTCTGCAACTCACTTTTACCTCTCTCAGCAATGACCCCTCCTCTAATCCTTTCCTCCCCCTTTCCCTATCCTTTGTATTTAAAGTTACTTCATTCCTATGTAGCATCCCTGATCTTTGCAAGTCCATTTAGAGCGTCTCACAAAGTAGGCTGTTGCCTATTGTCACGGAGTGGGGCCTGCAAGCGGCCGTGATCCCACTAGCGCCCCCTTTCCATGGCAATTAGGAGATCTAGCACCCTCGGATTCTCGCCCGCCACGTCTTTGTTCTTATTTAAGGTAATATGGGAGGCTGCCTATGATCTCCTGCTATTTAAGGGTGACTT